ATTTCTTACGGTGAGTAAAAGTAGCTTTATGCACCAGGGCTCATGTGTGTGTGTGTGTGTGTGTGTGTGTGTGTGTGTGTGTGTCTGTGTGTGTAAGTGTGTGTGTGTGTGTGTGTGTGTTTGCGTGAGTGTGTGCGCGTGCGTGGCGTGTGTAAATGTAAATGTTTTCAATTTTGGTTTGGAAAATCCTTTTTTTATCACTCTTGACAAAAGGTTGTGACGTACAGCCGGAGAAGATCACGTTTGGCGGATGGGGAACACTACGTGAAAAATTTAGATTGATCTCGGGAGTTGCCGTGTCTGCTGACAATGAGATATTTGTGACTGATCGTGACAACAAACGAGTCCAGGTCTTCAGTATAGATGGGACCTTTCTCCGCCGCTTTCCAACGGTACTGCCGGGTGAAAGTAAGGCAATGTACGCTCATGGTGTTGCTTTGGACGTGGCGCCTGGCTACCTGTGGGTACTGATTACAAGAAGTAAATGGCCCTACAATGAAGGACATGTAGTAAAGTACAGCAAGAACGGACAGCCCATAACGAAATTTGACGTAAGCCTCTCCAAGAGCGTCTATCCCGTCATCGCGATGGACGCGCGCAACAATAAAGTTATCGTGGGAGGCAAAACAACCATTATGATGTTTGATCCAAACGGCTCTCGTATTTGGACTTCAGAAGTGCGTACGGTATACGGGATTTGGGGAGTCACATCGGACAAGGAGGGAAATGTCCTGCTGACGGATGGGTATAAAACCATCCAGAAGTACAATCCCTCCGGAGTAAAGATATTTGAATTCGGCACCTTTGGACAGGGGAAGGGGCAACTGAACTATCCCGTTGGTATTTGTCTTGACACCTCTGGTCGCATCATTGTGGCGAATACTAAAAACAACCGGGTAGACATGTTCACAAGCCAGGGCGAGTTTGTCCGCACCATCGCGAGCATTACATACCCGCGGGATGTCGCTATGGGACCATGTGGAGAGTTGGTTGTGACTAGCATATTTACAAGCACTGTAACTATCTTTCCACGAGCAAATAGTGCTTCCTTGAAGCCCTAAATTTAACGCATAGCCCAACATGGCATAGATTGTCAAAACTGTCGTCTTTGAGAATACATTTACCAATCTTAAGTGCACAAAATGGTTCTCCAGATGTTCAGGTCCAGACCTGTACCTAAATAAATCAGTGAAGGTTAGACATCCAGGTAATAAGATACGCCAAAAAGTGTAACTAACAAAAGGTAGTCATGATACTTGAAACGTTTGATCATTTCCAAAAGCATATCCAGTTGCTTAAGCAACTGTTTTTTTTTTTGCTGTACCTAAATAATTATACAGATACAGGTATTAAGTACATGGGGGACCAACATTGATTTGTAGTCTCTTTTTACTCCAGATTGTATTTGAAGTAAATATGTATATCCATATATTGTTTGAAGTTTGTAGGCCTAGGGCGCATTGCAAACTGCCATAGTGGTGACATGTCCATGTAACTTTGTGGTCAAATACCACCAACAACAACAAAAAAATTAATGCAGGAATGCGCAAGTTTATTGTAATAGGCTCAAGTATGTATTTCACTTTGTCGTCAACGTAGGGGGGGGGGCTTAAGGCCACGAGGAAGTCTAAATTAATGGCAAGATTTCGTGAATTCTTTAAAAAGAGATCACTTATTTCATTTATTTCCTATAGCAGATTGCCGTCACAATTTTGAGAATAGAATATGCCCTTGTCCTATAGAGTAGAGTGTTAAGAACCTTGATATGTTTATTCAATGTATGGTCGCCCACACACATACCAACTCCGGGCACTGAGTCTAGATTGTGTCGCTGAGGTCGGTTTTACCCCGCAACCACCCACAGAAGTCTCTCCGTGTGTACAAAATGTCTTTATCCGTGTTCTTCACATCTGAACAGAATTCCATTATTTGATATTTTTGTGTCATGAGACAATGCCTTAGACTTGGTCCCTCTGTGTCATTACACAATGTCTTAAACTTGGTCCCTCTGTGTCATGAGGCAATGCTAGGATATTGGATACGACAATGAACAAGATAATTTCTTACGGTGAGTAAAAGTAGCTTTATGCACCAGGGCCCATGTGTGTGTGTGTGTGTGTGTGTGAGTGTGTGTGTGCGCGTGAGTGTGTGCGCGTGCGTGGCGTGTGTAAATGTAAAAGTTTTATACTTTTTTTTTATCACTCATGACAAAAGGTTGTGACGTAAAGCAAGAGAAGATCACGTTTGGCGGGTACGGAACACAACCTGGAAAATTTAAATCTAACTCGGGAGTTGCCGTGTCTGCTGACAATGAGATATTTGTGACTGATCGTGTAAACAAACGAGTCCAGGTCTTCAGTATAAAGGGGACCTTTCTCCGCCGCTTTCAAACGGTACTGCCAGGTGAAAGTACGAGAATGTGCCCTTTGAGTGTTGCTATCGGTGTGGGGCCTGGCTACCTGTGGGTACTGGGGAGAAGGCACTCGCGCTCCAATGAAGGACATGTCGTACAGTACAGTAAGAACGGACAGCCCATCAAAACATTTGACGTAAGCCTCAAGAGCGTCTATCCCGTCATCGCGATGGACGTGCGCAACAATAAACTTATCGTGGGAGACAAAACAACCATTATGATGTTTGATCCAAACGGCTCTCGCCTTTGGAGTTCATGGGTACGCGGGATCGGGGGAGTTACATCGGATAACGACGGAAATGTCCTGCTGACGGATAGGCATAAAACCATCCAGAAGTACAATCCCTCCGGAGTAAAGATATTTGAATTCGGCACCTCTAGAAAGGGGCAACTGAACGTTCCCCGGCCTGAAGGTATTTGTCTGGACACCTCTGGTCTCATCATTGTGGCGAATTTTGGAAACAACCGGGTAGACATGTTTACAAGCCAGGGTGAGTTTGTCCGCACCATCGCGAACATTGAACTCGCGTGGGCTGTCGCTATGGGACCATGTGGAGAGTTGGTGGTCACTAGTAAATCAATAAACATTGTAACTATCATTCCTCGCCACTTGGTGGTCCCTTAACTCTCATGATAGTTCTCACTAGGCTATTGTGCATAGGGGCCCCCTATGCTTTGATTTGGATGCTGGTTGAAAAAAACAGCATAGGGTTTTTTTTTGGGGGGGGGCCTTTATAAACCTTCAAAAAATAAATAAAAAACATAACTTTAAACTTAAGCTGTAGCAAATGGAAAACTTTAACTTCACCAAATCTGACCCTCAATAAGTGACAAATGGTGTCTCAGTGGGATATATATATATATATATATATATATATATATATATATATATATATATATATATTACATAAAAACTTTGTTCCTCACAATTTGGTGTATACCTTACTACTAAACAGTTACGTAGCTGCTGCCATAATGCTGGTATATTAGACTACATGTAAAAAGGAATGTAAGATTTAAAAGTTTTTGAATTCTGCTTACTGTATTGTGATCAAATTGTCACGACAGTGTCGCAAAATGTAATAAGAGAAGATGTGATGAAAGGAAAGAATCAGAACAGGGCGACTACTGCTGTTTATTTGATTTATTGCTGTTTTTATGACGAATAAAAGACTTGTTTCTTGGTACACTCTGTTCTTTTATTTTATTTGTTTCCTAACATCGAATTTCGTATTTCCTTAGTATGTTCCAAATCTAGGCATCTTGTTTTTTCAGCCCTTCATGTTTTTTTTTTTTATATCGGGCTTTCGCATCAAATTTAACGTCTCCAGTGCATCCAAAAAATTACTTGGTGTGGCCTTAAGCTTATTATGGAACAAGAGTTCCACGATCCCATACCTTCGCCAAATGATGTTAACCATTCCCACTGACGAAATTATACATTTTTCTCATTGATGATGAAAATAAGATCCTCATTTCATTTCATTTCCATCATGGATTATATCAGTTGATCATAATAACCATTATCCACCCAATGACAGGCGGAAACCACGTGTAAAGCGGTTTCGCCGACTCAGTCTGAACAGGGCCTTTGTTGTCATTGACACGAAACGCTTTCGGTTTCCCAGAGGACCACAATGGGGTTTTTCGCTGCATGCCTTTTCCTTAAGATATGATCGCTCGCTTTTACTCTACGTAGTTCGCCGGCACTAAAGTGTATATAAACAAGCAATTATATGGCATAGGATTTTATTTCATTTAGCGCAAACGTACCCTATCAATGTAAACGTTGTCTGTAATGTCTGCCCTTCTGAATTTAGCATGAGGCCGCCTTCTAACCCCCATGCAGACCCACTTCCTATTTTTAGACCGTAAATCACATTATCAGGCGCATACATTAAGGAGGGCCTGCATGGGGGTCCCGACAACGTTCTACGCTGAATTGAATTTTGAGAGCTGGCAACGTATTACGCTGAATTAAAAACTCTCCCTATTACGTAAAATAAAACGGCGGATTGCTCTCTACGCAAAATTCGTCAATTACGCTCTACGTTGAATTAGAGCGGTCCGTCTACGCTCTATGTAGAATTAAAACGACCGATTACGGAAAAGGCCCCATTAAGACCCCCGAGCTCTGGGTCGCACGCGAGTTATTACCACAACAGTACTAGTTGTACATCAGACATGGACGAAGCTACGGAAGAATCAAGAGCACAGATGACATCTTCTTGTTCCAGTCTTGGTCTAGTTCTTAAAGAAGGGCGACTGCCTCCCGATAAGGATGAAATGCCTCAGGTAAGATCTGTGGTTGTTTGTTGTTGGTTTTCGTCAATGCAAACTGATTTGGGGGACTGAGAAAGGGATTTTGTTATCGCTGATCTTAAAACCAGCTCCCCTACGTCTTGTGTACTCTAAATATCAAATCATCTTTGTTCAAGTCATGATTTTAATTTAAAAAAAAGCTTATCATGGGTTGGGTTAAAAGGTGATCCAGTATTTTGCATCGCCAGTGTGGTAAAACACAGTCCCGGCATTATCACTCAAACACTTGCCGATTTTATCATAATGTCATGCAAATTTTAATTAGATGTTTCGCCCGTATTAACAGCTTTAGGGTGTTTAAGTCCAAAGGCCATTTCCTTATGTATTTTGTAAGCCTGGAAGCGATTTGTAAGATCGGAATCTACGTGTTTGCCTCCGTATCAGGCTTGGGGGTTTGGTTTGGTGGTCTTTTCGGCTGTTTTCTGATCAGCCCAGTTCTAAAAACGGGGGTAATTCAGCCAGCCCGGCTATGATGTCTATATGCTATCAGAAAATAGCACATAAAAGACCATGAATACCCCCAAAACCCCCAGTTTTTGGCGTGCTATGGAGGCTAGAAGTAGGTCAGGCTGGGTAGGTCACGCGGCAAGACACGTCAGGTGTGCAAGACTCACCTACTTAATAACAATAGGGCTGAAATTGTATAGAGGCAAGACCGGTTTCTTCAATAGACGTGATCAACTCACCTGGTTGTTTCCTTTCATTCAACCTGCGTGAATGATTCAGAAATTGCTGTGCTGTTTTGTTGGATATATATTCAACCCGGTACATGCAGGTTCTCCAGGGTTCATCTAGAGATTAAAATTGTATAGAGGCAAAACCGGTTTCTTCAATAGACGTGATCAACTTACCTGGTTGTTAAGTTTCATTCAACCTGCATGACTGAATAAGAGATTTTTGGATGCTGGTTGCAAATTATGTATGGAGCTTCAACAAATTTGGACAGATCTATTAGCTATAGACTCATTTGCTTCGGCCATTTGTTTGGGCCGTTTGCTTGCCTTGTAAAGCAAAGACCTGAGTGTGTGTATAGTAATACTATTATACCGTATGACGTAACGCTAATGCTGTGTAATCTCCAAGCAGATGCCGTGCGTTTTCGGGCTTACGATATCGGGGTGGTGGTTTACCTAGAGCTGCATGAAGAAGAAATGAACAAAAATGACCCCCAAAAATTCTGAAACACAATCAAGAATACATACCAAAATAGTAACAAAGTGTAGCGCAGCACTCAAGTTTTTAAACTTATTTAACGGCGCCACACAATTAACATGCTTGTTGCAACGTATGTATGGAGACAATATTGGTTTCAACGAATTTGAACAGATCTAATTTGGTCATTTGTTTGCTTTGTAGAGCGTGACCGGTAATACTAGTACTAGACTAAGTACGTCGTATGACGTAACGCTAATTCTGTGTAATGTACAAAAAGACGCCGTGCGTTTTCGGGCTCACGATATCGGGGTGGTGGCTTAGAGTAGGTCATTACGGTCAGGTAGGACTGCCGGTGTCCAGTTTAGACCTCTCCTCATTGCTTCTCTGCTTGTACGAAAATCATGGTCAGCCCATAGCAGGCTTATAGAACTGGGGTTTTGGTGGTCTTCGGCTGTTTTCTGATTAGCCTCCGTAGCAGGCTTATAGAACTGGGGTTTTGGTGGTCTTCGGCTGTTTTCTGATTAGCCCAGTTCTAAACGGGGGTAATTCAACCAGGCCGGCTATGTTGTCTATATGCAATCAGAAAATAGCACATAATCATAAAAGCTCCCAAAGACCACGAAGACCCCAAAACTCCCAGTTTTTGGTATGTTATGGAGGCTACATCATGGTGGGTTTTAGTGGATGGTCTAAAGACCTGTAGTTGTACATGACCGGATGTTTTTCCACATGTCTGTCCAGTCGTGCCTTGAAAGCATTCACAGATGGTGGAAGTGATAATGATTTCAAGGATAGACTGGAGAAACATCCGGTCATGTACAACCGGTCCCGTGTTCACTTGGAGCTGCAAGGAGATGAAATGAACAACAAACCAAAAACATTTCTTTAACACAGACCCTCCATGAGTAGTCCCTTGTTTATATATTGTAAACTGAGGTTTTACGACATTAATTTGGGGCAATTTTAGTTGATATTTATTTAAGCCATTGGGCAAATAAGATACTGCCTGGCCAATTTGATACTGTCTTGGTGGCTACGAAAAGATCTGCCAGGAGATTGGATGGATTTTAACCTCTATTTCCCCAGAGACAGGACCTGTGTGTACGGGATGACCGCCATCTTGGATCCACACAATCCACCAACATGGCGACTATAGCTAACATTAACTATCTCCCCCAGACCCTCCGTGCCGATGTCCGGTGGTACCAGAGACAGGACCTGTGGGTCTGGCTGTACGGGATGGCCGCCATCTTGGATCCACACATTCCACCAACATGGCGACTATAGCTAACATTAACTCTCTCCCCCAGACCCCCCGTGCCGATGTCCGGTGGTACCAGAGACAGGACCTGTGGGTCTGGCTGTACGGGATGGTTTTCATTGGCGGCCTGATAGGAGCCATATTCGGAATCGGCAGTTACAGGTGGGTTTTACAGAAGTAGTTAAACACATTCTCTAAGACGTTATAGTGGTGTCCTAAGATTAAAACATTACCCAACACTGCCGTGGAACCGTATCTTGAAGTAAGGTGCATGAAATGGGAAATGTACGACAAAGTTGCTGTGCACTGACGCTAGATGTTACTTGGTGCATAGTACACCAAGTAATAGTGCACTGTGAACCATGCAACACCTTTAGTGCACTATGCGCCAAGTAACATCTAGCGTCAGTGCACAGCAAACCAGTCAGAATTACCCTGATGAAGATGACAGACGGTCATCAAAACGTCGGCTCGTAAAAAAGTGATAAATGTGATCAAAAACTTTGCTATTCATAAATAAAGCATGTTTTCTGATTGCACCATGTACCATGTACCAGGGGTTGGTACGCGCCTGTCGGGTTCGCCTATAACGTCACCAACACGACCCGACAGCGGTTCTTACCGGAGCCGTACGTCCTGGAGCCCGGGGTCAAGGGCAGACAGCATCCGGGCTCAGGTAGGTTTTCTTCATTTTCTGCCGCTTTCTGCTTTTTTATGGAAAGAAAGAAAGATAGAGAATTGAACTACAACATTTTTATGTTTACTGAAGGAAAACATATTGTTATAATGCTACGTTTCCTCTTCTTCTTCTTCTTCCGTTCCAAACACTGACTTCTGACCTAGCCAATGACCTGATTTGTTAACGTCTGTCACCATGGTAACTGGTGTTGGGTTACATAATGTTGCAATTTCATGGTCTCCTCTGCTCCTGTCACCAAATGCGCTCCTTGCGGCAAAACCAAAACTGCAGGTCCCGCCTCATTTTGACGCTGTCTGAGTAACATTAACATGCGTGTTTTCACTGTTATGTTTTTTAGATGGTCGCTGGTACTTCTGGAAGCTGCGGCCAGAACTGGTGACTCCGTGGACTCAACTGTTCGTGTGGGGCTGTTACACCGTCCACCAGCTGCTGGCCTGGTGGCTCCTGTACCTGGCACAGGTCAACCAACAGGTGAGCTAACACAGGTGAACTAGGCCTATGCCGCTACAGGTGCGCTAGTCGTAACTCAAGCATTTTACTTTTTTACTTTTTATATCGTTTTTGCTCAGTTTCTTCCTCTTCGTCTTCTCCAAACAGTGACCTCTGACCTGACCAATGACAGGATTTGTTGACGTCTGTCACCATGGTGACTGGTGTTAGGTCACATAATGTTGCAATTTCATGGTCTGCTCTGCTTCTGTCACCATATACTAGTGGTAACGCTACATGTATGTGAATGTATTTGAGTAAGAATTAACAGATCAGACCATGTCCGAAGGTAAACATTATGCATTTGCTTTGCAAATGTAATTCTCTAGTAGTATTTGTATTTTCAATAAAATAAATCCGTCATTTTAACTGTACGCGTCCAATTTCCCCGCAGTCCCAGAAGGGTAAGAAGTACTCCCCGCGGCTGAGTAAGTACAACTGGGCAGCTGTGGCCGTGCACACCTTCTTCCACCTGATGCACCTGGCGCAGACGCACGTGACGTACGACGCAACCGCACAGGTGAGACGTTGACGTCTGTCACCATGGTAACTGGTGTTGGGTTACATAATGTTGCAATTTTATAGTAGGAGGGATCTATACTCCTGTCTGACCATATATATATATATGTATGAATGTATTTGAGTCAGAATTAACAGAGCATACCATGTGTGAAGGTAAACATTATGCATTTGCTTGGCAAATGTTACCTTTCTAGTTGCTTTTCCCAGTCATTCATCTATCTCTCTTCAACCCCTTGCCTAGGACGTGACAATCGGGAGTTCTCAGGGCTCGGTTATCGTTGCTCTGCTGTTTGTGATGATCATAGAGTTCCGGGACAGAGGCGTGTTCTTCGGCTGGCCAAACGTCAAAAGCACAGGTAAGGCCTAGCAATGTTAACGTTATCAAGCAAGTTTAAGCTGCAATTTCCAACACAACAAATTGGACTCACCCAAATTTTCGACTGTACAACTACAGTCTTTGTCAAGGAATGAGCAATCCACCGCTTCCGTGACGTCACGCAGATAATAAACGTGACTCCGTGAGCAGTGGATCATAGGTTGCAGAAAGTCTGTGGCGCCCCCCGTCTCTGTTGAGGGATGGTTGTTCAGTCCAATTTGTTGTGTTGGAAATTGCAGTTTAAACTTGCTTCATTATGATTTCTACCAATACAGATGAACTTTCAAGATAATGTTAACGTTGTCACTAGAAAAATAATACTTTTATCAGCACTCTTAAAACATCCAAATAAACCCAGATGACAAATGGGAGACTCGCTCTATTCTAATGGCCCCAGATAACCCTAAATGGAATATGTGTTCTGTTCCAATGGCCGCAGGTTACCCCAAATGGAATACACATTCTGTTCCTATGACCGCCGGTGAACTCGAAAATAATATTTCATCCTAAATTCATGCTACCTGTACAAACACAATTACAGGTTTCAGTTATTGAAATAACTAAGGCGACTAACAAAGATCTGTGGATTTTCATTCTGTAATTTCTAGATAAAATCGGAAAAGCCATGCGGTCCTGGTCACGTGAGTCCGTGAGCCTTATAAGGAAGTACCACGGTTACCTCATCATGTGGGCTGCAGTCTACACCTTCTGGTACCATCCAATGGAAAACACGCTGGGTCACGTGATGGGGTTTTTCCACACCTGGATTCTGATGCTTCAAGGAAGCCTCTTCTACACAGATCTTCACCTCAACAGGTAAGACAAAAAAAGATTTAAAAAAATGTTGTCTCGCAAACTTTACCTGGACAAATTTCTAAGACTCTTAACAGGCCTTGTTATATCCAGAACCATGCTTTATCCAGAACTATGCTTAGCCATGGTTTTTGGATAGACCACGCATATCCAGAATCCTGTGACAAATCAGTGCCAGGGACAAATCTACGTTCTTGGATTCGCGGCGACTATCAAAAACCGTGCCTGATCCTAACCCTAACCTATTCAGACATGGAACTAGATAGGTTCGGTGCTCGGTTATTGACATAACTAAATGCTAGTTATGCAAACCAGGCGCTAATTTGCATAATTTATTGACGGATACTGGCGAGAGCTAATTTGCATAATTTACTGATAGATACCGGCAATAGCTAATTTGCATAATTTATGTGCAGATACTGGCGGTTCACCCTGGAGGTTTGGGTGACTCTACACGGCGGGCTGGTGGCCTGGCAGACCGGCGGACCGGACCAGATGGGCACCAAGCTGTGGCCCATGTTCACTTTCGGGTTCGCCACGCTCATAGTGCTCACTCAGGTACGTTTGGCAAAGATGTAGTGTTGTGTGACATCTTCGATCTTTAAGGTCAATGACCTGAACCAGACGGCTGTCGCCATGGTAACTGATGCTGTAGCAGACACCCTGTGGTGTTTGATTGCATTATGTAGCAAGTAGCAGGACAGAGCACACACACACACACACACACACACACATAATAACACACACATATATATATAACAATATGTATTTGTCGGGCAAATTAAAGTTGCCAATTCTTGTTAACGTTGATTGTCCTAATTAACCCATAATTAACGTTAATTACAGATCTTCACCCTGCCGTTCTGGAGGCATCTGCCGGCCTGGTCGCGCGGCGTCCCAGCCCTTCTGTACCTGGGCGTGCTGCTGTACTGCTACAGCTGGATACCTGACGAAAACGGGCGGCCATGGACACGCCTTCGGGAACCCTTCCTCATCCCGCTCAACCAGTATCTCTTTCCGCTCGTCATATGTGGCCTTGTCACCTTTGGCCTTTACGTCGAACGTAAAGTGGCCAATGGGAAGGGAGGGCGTAGTTTGAGTGATTTGGGGAGGGTGGGGTATCTAGTAGCGTCCTTGTGTATGTATGTTATCATAGTGGTACTTTCGTGGTCGCTGCAGTACTACGATGCCCCGATACCAGGACCTGCTATGATGTTCGTGCATGTGCCTGTGTTTATAATCTTCGCTGTCGTGTCCGCATTCCTGGTGAAAAGAGTGGTGGAAGCTCCGGGAGAGAAGGTCAAGGTTTGTCCAAACACGGAGAGTGGTGAGATTCCAGGAAAAGGAATTCCCGGAACGTTCTATGGCCAGGTCAGCGTGATCGAACTGGAACAAGGGCAGCTGCAGCTTAAGGAGTCCGCCTTAAAGTGATTTTGATAGTTTTAATCTCTCAAGATTACAAACTTAAGACATTATGGCAGCGTAGAAACCACCATTCGTAAGCCTCACCGATAAGAATGAAATATATGCTGAAAAATCCTTACCTTATTTGGTTATTTGCTAAAGTGATTTAGCTTTAATTTTCAAGATCCCAAGAAATTGTCTCGGTACACAACTGGATAGATATTTGAGTAGAGTAGAGTCTAAGGTCAGGTAGGACTTCTAGTTTGAACTGCTACTTCTCTATCTCCTCTTTAACGGTCTGTGGACCTACCAACATTTCGGTAGCCTTTCTACCACATTCCTCAGGGCAATGCTGACTGGAAGTCCTCATTGTGAAGCATTGTGAGCAATGCGGTCCCAAGCGTGACTTCTTTTTCTCAATTCATTCCGCTCATCGATGTACTGATTTTGTCACCTAACGCATTCCATTTACCCTTTCCCTTTCTTTCTTTGCCTCCGCACACTGAAGGTTATTGGTTAATGTTGTTTTCGGTGCCGTTTGTTTTTGGATGTGATGGTAGATTTGTGAACAGCAACTCGAGAAGTTGTGGAAGGATCTTTATGAGATTTGGTATGTGGCACGCTGTCGGCAAAACAAAAGACAGGTTTGCCAATGGTCTTAGTCACCAAAAATGTTGCTGTATATGTATATGTACCTGGCATATGTTGTACTTATATACTGAAATTATATTTGTGTATGTATTTTATTTCATATATTATCATTATTATTATATTTTCACGTCGAAAGGTATCTATGGGGTGTCGTTTTATTTAACATTTTTCTTGTGTGTAACAAATCTAACTAATTTAGCTATTGATGTACAGATATATTCGTTTTTCTTGTTGTTGCATATTCTTGCGTTGTACAGTTGTATTACATGGAGTGAATTACATGGTGTAGATATGTACCTATTATGTACATAAGATTAAATAGATCACAAAGAGATGGAATAGAGTATCCACCTAGATTTTATTACGAGAGCCTTCGATGTTAGACGATATTAAAAGTGGCACATTTATTAAGTATTATAATACCATAAATGTAATGCAATTCACTGAATAAAAGCGGTATATTTCACCTATCTTATAGTTTCAAAAGGGTTGTTCACGAAGACTTCAATTATAAAAAAAATAATAAATTAGTTACTATTAAATTTACATTCACATAATTAAAACATAAACATCTATTTACCTTATATCAGATATATATAGCATGATGTGAGTTGTCATTCTAGCCACATTTGCAACAGAAGCAGCAAGAAATGCTGGTGGGAAAGGGAGACATTAACTTTTTGGCGACGTCTCAGGGAGGAGCCTAATGGTACAGTATTGTGTGCAGTTTGCAAGAATTCTAGGAATGGTACAGGCATTTTGTCCACAAGAATGGAATGTCCACAGGCATGTCTCTGACCCACATCTATGCCCATATTTCTGGAAACCCTTGGGAAAACCTGTCTTCCCTGGATGGCCCTACTTTCTGTGACCCCGGGGCTAGTTCATTATACACTCGGGAGGAGTGCACTGTATTTGTCTAGACTTAACAGGTACCAAGTCTTCTTCAAAATCATGAAATGATGGCAGTGCCATGCAAACAATAACCCTAACAGCATTGAACTACCGTCGCCATGGCAATGTATGTTTTCATTGCCAGTCTTGTTTCAACTATCAGATCAGGGCAAAACAGTTTCCTTGACCTTGCCGTCGTCCAATGACATTGGAATCGAACCGTAACTTCCTGGAACGCCCTTTCCGGGAATCTCGTGGTTTTCCCGCGCTTTTTCGAATTCGACATTGACCTTCTTGACTTTCGCTTCAACTACCCTTCTGACAAAAAATCCTGCTACCACAACAAACATGATCCAAATGGCCTCATGGACCACCATCATGGATGCACCTGAAATCTGCAAGTCATAATACTGAATAGCCCAGGCAATTATAATAACAGCCAAATACATCAACAAGAAGCCCCAAGCATACGCAAATCGCCCGAACGTGCTCAATGCGTTGTTAGGGCTGCTGCCATTGGTCAGTTTGCGTTCTACGTAGAGGCCGAAGGTCACGAGGACACATATGACCAGGGCAAAGCCCCAGTTGTTGAAAGGGATGACGATTGGTTCCCAGAGTCGCGTCCAAGGGCGTCCGGTTCTATCCGGGATCCAGCTGTAGCAGTAGAGCATCACGGGAAGGAACGCCACGGCGGGGACGACACGTGACCAGGCAGGAAGGTGCTTCCAGAAAGGCAGACCGAACAGCTGTGAATGCAAGAGGAACAGTTCAAGGTCATGTAAGACACCCGCAAGAAACAAGTAGTCAGAGGTACGTTGCTTGCTTCGATTTGCTTCGAGGGCTGAAGTTATAATAACTTTGAGCATAGACATTGGTGATCTAACGTTGTGTGTGTCTGTTTTCTGTGTGTGTTTCTGTGTGTCTGTGTGTGTGTGTGTGTGTCTGTATGTATATATGTGTGTGTGTGTGTTTGTGTGTGTGTTTGTGCGTGTCAGTGTGTGTGTGTCTGTGTGTGTTTGTGTGTCTGTGTGTGTCTGTGTGTCTGTGTGTGTTTGTGTGTGTGTTTGTGTGTCTGTGTGTGTGCGTGTCAGTGTGTTTGTGTGTGTGTGTGTTTGTGTGTGTGTCAGTGTGTTTGTGTGTGTGTGTGTTTGTGTGTGTGTATGTACGCTTGTGTGTGTGTGTGTGCATCTGTGTGTGTACTTAAATGGGTTTACGTTAATTACACACATGACGTACCTGAGTGAGCACTATGAGCGTGGCGAACCCGAAAGCGAACATGGGCCACAGCTTGGTGCCCATCTGGTCCGGTCCGCCGGTCTGCCAGGCCACCAGCCCGCCGTGTAGAGTCACCCAAACCTCCAGGCTGAACCGCCAGTATCTGCACAGAAATTATGCAAATTAGCTCCGATTTACATGAATTATGCAAATTAGCTCCAGATTTGCATAACAAGCTCCAAACACTGACCTCTGACCTAGCCAATGACCTGATTTGTTGACGTCTGTCACCATAGTAACTGGTGTTGTGTTACATAATGTTGCAATTTCATAGTGAGAAGGATCTATACTCCTGTCTGACCATATATATGAAAATGTGTATTTGAGTCAGAATTAACAGAGCAGACCATATGCAAAGGTAAACATTATGCATTTCTTTGGCAAATGTTACCGTTCTAGTTGCAAATAGCTTTTACAGGTCAAAGATTAATCGAATACGGGGCAAAGGTGAACCCACCTGTTAAGATGAAGGTCTGTGTACACGAGGCTTCCCTGCAACATCAGAATCCAGGTGTGGAAAAACCCCATCACGTGACCCAGCGTGTTTTCCATGGGATGGTACCAGAAGGTGTAGACTGCAGCCCACATGATGACATAACCATGGTACTTCCGGACCAGGCGTACAGACTCACGTGACCAGGACCGCATGGCTTTTCCGACTTTGTCTTGGGTATGAAAATCAGTATGTTAAAAAAACAATTTCTTTCAAAAGCAAGCTTTACAAAATAACAAAAGGTCGATGACTTCATACCTTCGTCATGTATGAGTCTGGGTTGTCAGAGATTTGCTAGGAGGAAGAATCTTGGACACAGAACCGGAATTCTTTGCACGAGGGATTAAAGAGGCCATCTACATCAGGGCACTGCAACCATCATTCAACAGAGACGGGGGGCGCCACAGACTTTCTTTAACCTACTACGTACCCAATGCTCACGGAGTCACGTGTGTTATCTGCGTGACGTCACGGAAGCGGTGGATTGCTCATTCCATGACAAAGACTGGAGTTGTACAGTCGAAAATTTGGGTGAGTCCAATTTGTTGTGTTGGAAATTACAGTTTAAAGTTGTTTCATAATGATTTCTACCAACACAGATGAACTTTCAAGATAAGTCTTACCTGTACTTGTGACGTTAGGCCAGCCGAAAAACACGCCTCTGTCCCGGAACTCTATCGCCATCACAAACAGCAGAGCCACGATAACTGAGCCCTGGGAGCTGCCGATGGAAACATCCTGAGAAGAAAAAACAGTTTGAAAACTTGTCAACTGCAGTTACTGTAGTTATTACCTTCGTCAGAAGGTTATGTGTTTAGGTACACCATACATACTGCTTGCTGATTTTGTGATCGGTCATAACTTGGGGTGAGATGCATGTATCTTTATGATATTTGGTAGGTAGGATGAAATTGGGAAAAGGAAGGTTATGGTCAATTTTGGGTACGTACTCTAGCGGTTTTGTAAGGTACTTCAGCGGGGTACATGGTTATGATATCTCGTGCTTGATTTTTGAGTGGGACTTAGATGTTTGGTTACTAAGTATCTGGTGTGATTTTCAGCAAAATATCTGCTTTTTTAGCTTCTGTGGTCATTTTTATGATGGAATGTGACTAGACGGGATAACTTGTGATGTTGTGGATATTTTATTACAGTTTTCTGTAGGTAGCTTGTAGTGGTGAAAAGGAAGGTTAAGTTCGAATTTGGGCATTTTAGTGGCTTTCTAAGGTATTTCAGTCAGGTGGTGTATTGGATGTTGGCCTGCCAGTCGATGATATTTTTCTTACAAATTTGATACTGATTTGATTTGAACACCTAAGATGCCCTTTCTCACCTGTGCGGTTGCGTCGTACGTCAGGTGAGTCTGCGCCAGGTGCAGCAGGTGGAAGAAGGTGTGCACGGCCACAGCTGCCCAGGTGTATCTGTTGAGATTGGTGGAATACTTTTTACCCTTCTCTGCCTGAAAAAGGAAAAAGGGAGCACTTGATTTGATTTGATTTATTGAAATTGCAACAATGCAATACACATGGGACACAGGCAGCAGTTGCTGGTGTTGTGTCCCCACATAGAAACAAATACTGGGCAGACAATACTCATTTTCCCTTGAGTCTAGTGGGGAAAGTCGTGTAAAGTGCCTTTCCCAAGGGCACAAGATCAGTGGCATGTGAGGACTCGAACCCGGGACCTCTTGATTCCGAGTCGCTCACGCTGCCGTTGCGCCACACGACCCCACTTAGTTTGTTTAATTGTTATTACCTTGTTTCGTCACACAGTGTGCCAAAATTCAATTCCTAATAGAGTAAGCTCACCTGTTGGTTGACCTGTAAGTGTTAGCTCACCTGTTGGTTGACCTGTGCCAGGTACAGGAGCCACCAGGCCAGCAGCTGGTGGACGGTATAACAGCCCCACACGAACAGACGCGTCCACGGAGTCACCAGTTCTGGCCGCAGCTTCCAAAAGTACCATCGAGCCGCTAGGGGGCAAAAACTACCATTATTATCGATAGGTATGATTATGATATTTATAAGTAACTTTGTAAGACGAGGGAAAGAGGCCATACACATCAGAACAACAGCATCTATCTCTTAACTAAGACGGGGCCAATACAAACTTCGGGGGAACCTTTGACCCCTTACTGACGTCACCGTTCCGTTCGGGTGCACGTGACAAAGGCTTGCGGTCATTTCAACTTGAGGAGGGTCAGAGGACTGGTAGTAATCTTTTTGGTGTCACTTTTAGTGCACAATCAGTGTAGGAAATCTTTTATATGTTTTGACTTTTCGTAGTTAACTCCTTTTATAAGCGGGTGCACAGGTGGAAAACTGTTACTTCTAGGGGTAAAAGGGGCAATGAACTAATAGTGAATTAGTGATCTTAGTGATGACAAATGTTGCTGTTGTCACAGTTTTCTTCCAAAGTGACTTGTAAAGCTACCTGGATCGACGCCTTGTCTTCCTTTAACGCCTTCTTCCGGTTCGTACGGCTCCGGTAAAAACCGCTCTCGGGTCGTGTTGGTGTCATTATAGGCGAGCCCGCTAGGGGCGTACCATCCTCTGCAAGTAGAACAAGACTGGCAATGAAAACATACATTGCCATGGCGACGGTGGTTGCTGTTAGGGTTATTGTTTGCATGGTACTGCCATGATTTTATGATTTTGAGGAAGCCTTCGTACCTGTTAAGTCCAGACAGATGCAGTGCACTCCTCCCCTGAGTGTATAGTGAACAAGCCCCGGGGTTACAGAAAGACTCGATTTACACATAAAATTCATAAGAAAAATTTTAAGGAATTCCAAGACATGCCCACCTGTAACTGCCCAGTCCAAAAATGGCTCCTATCATTGCGCCAATGAAAACCATCCCGTACAGCCAGACCCACAGGTCCTGTCTCTGGTACCACCGGACATCGGCACGGGGGGTCTGGGGGATAGAGGTAATATGAGCTATAGCCGCCATGTTGGTGGAATGTGTGGATCCAATATGGCGGCCATCCCTTACAGCCAGACCCACAGGGCCGATTTCTACTATCTATTCAGCCTGCAAAGGAGTCTGGTGGAGACTACCATGATATGTGACCCAAAAACTTTTACTGTTTCGAGCGATGTTTGTCCGCCCTGTTTGTTCTGTTGTTGACTTGGTGTAATATTAACTAGGGGGGTCAAACTGCCCTGACCTGTACTGCCAAATGTCATCTAGTCTGACCTTATTGTTAAATAGATGTAGTAATTCATTATTGTCAACAACGCTGGCTGTATAGAAGAATGATTTAGTTGAAGGAGTTTTTGCCGTTTTGAAGTTTGGATCGCCGCGCATCGGAGGGAAGACAACAACCTTTCGCGGCCAGACTCCCCAGGCCAATTCTCTCTCCTTTTTTGCAGAATTCTACGATCCGTATTTTCGCAGAAATACATGGTACAGGCTTGGGAAATAGTATGTTGCTTCGTTCACAAAAAGACTCTCTGACCACTATAACTACGATAATCATCTTCAAAAAACCTACACTATACACACACACAACACCTACCAAAACAATATCACACTGTCTATTTGTCATATGTTTCGTTGTACATTGCGTATCGTTGCCGCCTCTAGGGCTAGCCATTTGTAGTAAGCCATTGCCTAGTTGGGTAGACCTACACATCTATCCCAAGAATCTTCTGTACTGCCAATTATTGGAGACTGTCTTATAGCCACCAAAACATCTGCCTGGAGATTAGCCTTTAGGCGTTACTAGCCTCTTTTGTGTTCCACTGTTTGAAATCCTTATATTGTTGACTTAACGGCTGTTTTACAAGGACGTGACTACGCAAGCCGATGTAAGCTAACTGAAGGTTTGCGGGGGAGTGGCGCTACGTGCGGTTGTGGAACCTGGTAATGGATGTTCAAAGGTTACACAAGCCACCTGTTGCTTGGTACAAGATACAAGAAACGCACGTAGCAATATAAAAGCCTCCTGTGCAGGCTTTCTAGTGGCTGGCGTTTGTTGCTACGAGCGCGGTTAGAGCGCAATGCCTTTTTTTCAGTTTCGGGGAGAGCTGTAGATGAGGGTAGGGATTTCAGGGAAGAAAGCGGTATGAGGGAGCTATATCCTCCAGCACAAGAGTAACATTATACACAGCAGTTAAAATCTTGCCAGTTGCACGTTGCAAAATTTCATGCACAGGTGTCTCGGTGTAGGTTTGCTTGTAGAAAATGCAGAATACACACACAACACATCTTGTTCTTATTAGTTAATTATAACAACTGTTACATTAACATGAATATTTCTAAATAAGGGCAGGATGCATTTCCCTGTACCTAATTAGAATCATTGGATCATCAAATGGAGGATACTCCCAATAATGAAACTTCTCCAGCTTTTTCTGGCATTTCGGATGTGAGATTTCAAACGTTACCTGTAGTCCTGTTGTGAAAGGTTTTCTGATATCTCCCAATCCCGCTGTTATCACGCAGTTTTCAGCAGGACCTATGGGTGCTTGGGTTCCGCGACCTTGTCGTCTGGTGACGTTGGTATCCTCCCTGGTCGCATCCATGTCTTAAGACTGCCGATTCCTTCTTATCTTCGTTCCTTCTTCATTTCGCCAATGCTTGTCTGTCCTCAGGATTTTGTGACTTCGGGTGTCACATAAACTACTGCTTGTTGGCAATACGCCAAGCAGATCTTTCTAGTCTCTACCAGACTAACTACGCTGGCTATATATCGATCATGGAGACTAATTGCCAGGGGAGTTTGGCCGCCTTGCCTTATTCCCGTAGAAAGGCCTGGTAGAGGCTAGTTCGGCCCGTGAATAGTACGATTGACACCTTATAGCTCAGCATTGTATGTTGTAATGCCGACAATCGCCGTGAGAAAGCTGGTTGGACGGCTGCTATAATATAACCTAATACGCAACGTTATGACGGAAGAAGCAATATTTCAATATGCATAAACTGACAGCGTTTCTTCAGTCGAACCACCGAAAGATTTTCGCCTCCACCAGGCCTTTCTACGGGAATACGGATCGTAGCATTCGGCAACAAAAGAGAGTAAAATTGGCAAAGGGAGTCCGGCCGCGGGGAGGTAGTTTCCTTCCCTCCGAAGGCCAGTCAAACCTACAAGGAGACCAAACTCCCCTGGCAAATATTCTCCTATATATAGCCAGCGTAGATAGTCTGGTAGAGACCATGGTATACAGTAGCTACTAGGCTATAAGTTTTTAGTACTTACCCTTTGCTGTTTGGATTCTTGTAGGACCAGCCCTGAGGTCGAGGCGGATAGCTTTGAGTCGGGAGCCTTCACCGTGTCTTCCATGGCTCAGTTGTTCCTCAAGCGCTGGGGTGAAGAGGTGAGGTACGGGCAAAGTCCAGGGTTAGCCTCTATAACAAGATTTTGGGTCGTGCCGTTCTTCAAGGATACCTGTAGTTGCTTGGTAACTAGAAGGTTCAATAACCGCCTTGTTGTAAACCATATGGGTAATAGTTGTGCGGCCTTGCCGAATGCGGTCGTGGGTATGCCATATGGTGAGTGGACTATGATATGCTCAAGTATATATACAAATGTATATATATATAGTTTTTTATTAACTTTATTCCGCACATTTATGACGTACAGCGGAAAGATAAGGGATTGCTTATCCAAACCTTAAACACCTTGTAAAGAAGTCAGATAAAACAAAAAAAGACCGAGTTGTGATCGGCTTGTAAAGTGTTTGTCTTCCAACGAAGGACAGGCACTCACTCATTCACTCACTCATTCACTCACTCACTCACTCACTCACTCACTCACTCACTCACTCACTCACTCACTCACTCACTCACTCACTCACTCACTCACTCACTCACTCACTCACTGATACTACAGGGACTGCCGAAAGGGGAAACAATATAGAAGACACACACAATGTCTAGGAGTGGTCAAGGGGATAACTTAAACGTCTGTATTATCTCTAAGTCATTCATTCACTCACTCATTGTGTCTGAGTATCGTCACCCTGACCTTACTGATACGCACCTGAACTTGACTGACTGGTTCTTATGGTGTTCCAGTTCTGTAGACGTGAACTTGAAGTCGGGACTAGCGGTGAAGATCTCCTTCTCGGTTGAGTTGAAGGCCAGCGCCTTATGTAAGCTTACGTAACGGTCCCTTATCGGCCTTACATAATGTCCTGCGTGAGTGAACTCTCGTGACCTTTCCCTTTATCCGGTATCCGGTTACATACTAGTATTATTAACTTTCTAAAGGTTTGTACCATTGCAAGAGTAGGGGTGGCGGGAAGACAAAAGATTTGAGTACACTACTCTCCAAGCAGAGGTTGAAGGCTGAGGGGGAAACAGCGAACATCAAAACGGAATAACGTAGCCTCGTGTATCATGTAAATTCGATTTTAATTCAGCGTTATACACACTGTGAAAACGAATAAAGTCCTCTTGTATCTTGTAAAGAGCTTTATCGTTTCAACGTAGAGGTAGACAAACGAGGTAGGCTATTCTCGTTTAGAACTTTTGAGCTTAATTTACTAAAAACAATATCGCAGGAATGCATCCTGAATTGTGTTGTAGTTTAACCTTTTCCCAGCTGCCTAATCTGGTAACCAAGACAAATCTCCAAGCAGATCCTAGGCTGGCGTATTGGACCCTCTCTGGCCAAATATAATGGATACTGCCTGGCCAATTTGATACGGTCTTTGCCACCCTAGTATCTGCTTGGAGATTACCTAACGGGAACCTTAGCAGACTGAGGGTTAAAATCTAGACCGGGCAGTAGGCGCGGAACATTAGAAGGCCCCTTGAGCTGATTTTTAGCCGCACGTCCTGATTGGCTGAGATGAAGATAGCGGCCCCGCGCTTGAAGCTGATTGGTTCTCCGGCGGTGACGTTGGTGCCGGTGGCGTCGCCCTTGACAACCAGCACGATGCTGGCACTGCTCATGCGCGATATGACGTAGGACTTGGTCTTAGACGGGATCTGGGAAAGAAAAAAGATATGCACAACGACATATTTACAACAATAAGAAAGATTAAGAAAGCTTACTAGAGACAGACACACACACACACACACACACGCATGCACACATGTACACATACCAAACACACACACACACACACACACACACACACACACACACACACACACACACACACACACACATACACACACACAGAAATAAATGTACACGGACACATACACACCGATACGGAGAGACAGACAGACACAGACCGACTGGCGACACGGAGATACACAAACACAGAGAGACACATTCAGGGCGACACTGTGAGACATACACACAGACACACATCACACACACACACACACACACACACACTCACACACACACATAAATATAGACAGACAGACAGACAGATTACTTACAAATCAACGAGGACTGAACGTCATATAACACATAAAGTTTTTTTTTAAACAGAGACATTTTACAATGATCGTACCTCTATCTTGGCGACCGCGAAGTCGTCGATGCCTGGATCGTAGAACACGACGTTCGGGTCGGAAGGGTCGGGCTTGGTCCGCATGATCTTATCGGAGCACGGGGCGGGCTCGTACCTGGATTTAGATAGGAAAAACACAAGGTCTTCTCTTCAACTTGCAATTGTTTGAATAGAGCTTATCTGTGTTTGTAGAAATCATAGTTACCTCCATGAAAAATGTCTGTCTGTGTATACCTCCAGAAAAATGGAGGTATTGTTTTTGGCGTGTCTCTGTGTGTGTCTGTCTGTGTGTCTGTCTGTCTGTGTGTTTGTGTTTCCGCACGTACATCTGCAGTCAGCATAACTTCAGAACGCCTTTATGGATTGTGATGATATTTGGTATGTTGGTAGGTCGTAGGAAGACAAAGGTCAAGGTCAAATATGCTCCTCCTGTTGGCTGACCTTGGTGCTGCAGCAGAACTTCCGGTTTTTGAATCTTTTAAGGTACAAAAACAGGAAAAATCCAGGGATAAGATACTAGTAACTGACCTGAGCATCTCGCTGAGGGTCTCGAAGTCGTTGAGGCGGCTGAACTGTTTGTCTGTCAGGCCGCCGCACACCACGTTATCCCCGTTCGCAAGGACCTCCACACAGTCTGCAAATATAACAAACAAAACACCTGCAGTTCAAACGGCGGCCGCTAGGGGAGTGTTGTATACAGAACCGTGTGAATGAACGTATTCAGAACTGTACTTTATTCAAAATCAGTCGTGAATAGTCCTCAAGTATTCATAACCGTGCCTGGGGCAAACCCATGTTCTTGGATACACGGAGACTATCCATAACCGTGTCAGAACCTCCACACAGTCTAGAAATAACAAACAAAACATCTGCAGTTCCATCAGGAGCCGCTAGGGGACTGTTGTATCGAGAACCGCACTTTATCAAGAGCCATGCACAGGCATGATTCTGGATAGTCCTCAAGCACCCAGAACCGTGCCTGACGCAAATCTACGTTCTTGGACACATGGAGACTATCCAGAACCGTGCCTGATCCTAACCCTCAGGCATAGAACTAGACAGGTATGCTTCTGGGTATGATACACAGCGCCTTTGCTCGTTCTCAACACACAAGCGTTCACAGGATGCGAAATCAGCACCAAGGAAAGCGCCTTCTGTTTTTCGGCTTTGCCTCACAAAATCTTTAACCCCCCAACATGGCGGACGCTAGGTTACGTCACGGTCACGTGAGTGCCAACGACGTTGTGACGTACCTCCGGATATGTACGCATGCGCCTCGTTGACGGGCACGTCGATGGCCTGGCTGGGTCCGATGTCCACCACGTTCAGCAGGTAGATGGAAAAGCACCCCCTATCGGCGGGATACTGTCGGTGCAGCTGTAGGAACAGCTCGCCGTTGCTAGCCGTAACGTCTCGGCCCGCGGCAACTATATATGAAGAAGGAAAGGAAAACAACTAGAACTAGAGAAGTAACATTAATTTGCAAAGCAAATGCATAATGTTTACCTTCGGACATGGTCTGCCTTGTTAATTTTTACTCAAACACATTCACATACATGTACTACGAGTATATGGTGACAGGAGTAGAGCAGACCATTAAATTGCAACATTATGTAACCCAACACCAGTCACCATGGTGGCAGACGTCAACAAATCATGTCATTGGTCAGGTCAGAGGTCACTGTTTGGAGAAGAAGAAGAAGAGGAAGAAACGGAGCAAAAACATTATGTTTTCCTTCGGTAAACATAAAAAGTCGAACATACGCCCTAACCCATTCAGGCACAGAACTAGAGAGGCACAGTTCTGGATACAATACCACTTACTTTCTTTCTTCATCCTCTTGTCCATGACAGCCAGCAGCCTGGCGACTACCTCTTCGTTGCAGACCATGAGCGCGTGGAAGCACTTCTTCAGGGCCCGGAGCGCCGCTTTCTGGTGGGCGGGGTCGGACGCGCCTGCCGCCGAGAGAAACTCCTCCGCCGCCTCGGCGCCGATCGCCTCGTAAAACTCAGGAATCTCTGTAAGAAAGCACAACCATAGGTAGATGAAGGTTAGACATCCAGGTAATAAGATACGCCAAAAAGCAGTTACTCAAGCAACTGGATATGATTTTGGAAACGGTCAAACGTTTCAGCTATTATCCACTAGCTTTCGTCAGTGACTGAGAGACCAGAGAAGAAATGCCCGATCATAGAGTCTTCAAAGGAGGGTTTGCATGTGACATTCAACATAACAACGCTCGAAATGAGTTGACTATTCAAACCTCTACAATTTATCCCAATTTCTCAAAACTTACAGACAAACAAAAAACTGTTATTCTTTTGACTTCCCAAAACCCACAAATTTTAGAAAAGGTGGGACATTACATCTTCCATGGTTTACAAAAGAGAAGTCAAACCCTTCAGACATAGTTTTAGACATAGCAATAGTTTTAGACAATTAGATTTCATTATGTACATTTTAGTAATTTAAACTCTGTTTCAATCTTCTTGAAACAGAAAACACTCACAAATGATATCAGTTAACTTGGTGGTTTGCTAAGGGTGGACCGGCGTACCTTTGAGGTACCCCGCTATCTCCCCCAGTGGCCTGAAGCCGCACATGCCCCGCATGGCAATCAGAGCGATGGCGATCTCATCCATCCATCCATCCATCCATCCATCCATCCACCCATCCATCCATCCATCCATCCATCCATCCATCCACACTGTACCCACCCACATACACACTGTCCCAACATACACACTGTCCATCCATCCAACCATCCATCCATCCATCCATCCATCCATCCATCCTTCCTTCCATCCATCCATCCATCCATCCATCCATCCATCCATCCATCCATCCATCCACCCATCCAGCCATCTGGTGGATCCATTATAAGGACACTGTACCCACCCACATACACACTGTACCCACCCACATACACACTGTACCCACCCACATACACACTGTACCCACCCACACACGTGCCCACCCACATACACACTGTACCCACCCACACACGTACCCACCCACATACACACTGTACCCACCCACCCACACACTGTACCCACCCACATACACACTGTACCCACCCACATACACACTGTACCCACCCACATACACACTGTACCCACCCACATACACACTGTACCCACCCACATACACACTGTACCCACCCACATACACACTGTACCCACCCACCCACACACTGTACCTACCCACATACACACTGTACCCACCCACATACACACTGTACCCACC